TTGTTGCGCCCGAGTCGCGTATGAACTTGTCGGTTCATGTAGCCGGGTGTTGTTTGTCTCTGGCGAGTAAAAAACTGTCGTTTGGGGTCTCGGAGACCTCTGATTTGTGGTGGTTGTGTGATTTTTTTAATACGGGTATTTTTTTTTGTTTAGGAAAAAAATGAGTTCTAACGACTTAAATATTGAGCGGTGGTTAGAAGAAGATCTATCAGATGAAGAAAACATACCAAACGATGAATGTAGCGACGTGGATTGTGACGTAGACTTGAATCTTGTGTTAGAAGAAAGTTATGGATCAGATTCCGAATGTGAAGCGACAGCTGAGAGGGAAAATTCTTTGTGTCAAAATTCTTTATCTTCGATTCCACCAGATGATGAAGCGTTTTCATCTGAAGATGATGAGCCCCTATCACAAATGCGATCGCGGCCAAGGAAAAAGAACTTTTTCGGAAAAAATCGCTTTCGATGGTCTTCCGTACCTCCTTCCTCTCGATCGCGAACGTTACATCATAATATTGTGCAAGAACCACCTGGAGTAAGGTCAACATATCAGAGTAAGCTGAATGCATCATCTTCTCCGCTAGATATTTGGCAAAAATTGTTTACGGACGATATGCTTGAAAAAATTGTTGTAAACACTAACGTGAAGATAAATGAAATAAGGCCGAACATCAAAATAAAACCTGTGTTCAAGATTTAGACCTCATTGAATTGAAGGCATTTATTGGATTCCTGTTTTATACGGCAATTTTCAAAGAAAACCACGAGGACTACACGTCATGGTATTCTACGGACGGCACTGGTCGGGAAATTTACCGCTGCATTATGAGTAAAAATAGGCTCGAAGTATTACTAAATTCAATACGTTTTGACAATGCAGCGACCAGACAGGCCCGACATGAAGTTGATGCAGCTGCACCTATAACTGACCTCTTTGATTCCTTCATTTCCGTTGCCAAAGCTATTTATGCAATCGGCAGTTACGCATGTATTGATAAGATGTTGGTTGCGTTCCGGGGACGATGCAGGTTTAAAGTATTCATGCCAAAGAAGCCAGCTAAGTACGGGATAAAAATTCAATGTCTTACAGATGCAAGATCTGGCTACTTACTCAATGCCTATTTATACAAAGGCAAAGATTCTGACGGACTTAACTTACCAGCTGAATGTCAGCAACTAAAAAAACCAACTAAAGCAGTTACGCGTCTCATTCCTCAAACTGCAGGTTCCAACAGAAATGTCACAACTGATAATTGGTACATTTACTTAAACTCTATTGAGCTCTTATACTCACTAAAAAAGAAACAGTTGACAGGCGTGGGTACACTTCGAAAAAATCAAAGAAAAATCCCTCCAGAATGTTTGCCTTCTCGCCACCGAAACATCGATTCTACACTTTTTGGATTTACAAAAGATTTTACTAATTCATCGTATGTTCCAAAACAAAATAAAGCAGTAATTACAATTTCAAGTATGCACCACACGCCAGATATTGATGAATCTACTCAAAAGCCAGAAATTATACTTTTCTACAACACTACGAAATACGGAGTGGATCTTCTAGACCAGAGATGTTCGAACTATTCTATTGCCCGTCGAACTCGCTGATGGCCCTTGGCAGTATTTTATCGACTTCTTGATATTTCAGCTACAAACTGGTACGTCGTGAACTTATCAGTCCAACTCGAAGGACTGAAGATTGAAAGCAGATTCAAGTTTATGAAGAAACTAGCTGAACAACTAACGAGACCGCATATGAACCGTCGTGTCAATAACACGAAACTGCAACGTGATTTAAGAAACGCTATTGGGCGCGTTCTCACGCGAAACGAGGTTGCCACTCCATCAGTTTCAAGTGGTAGCAATGCTGAAGAAAGGCTGGCAGTTCGCAAGAATTGTACAACTTGTGACTACACAAACAAAACGCAAAACACAATCTGCGTTTTGAATGTAAATCACCAATTTGCCTTGAGCACTGAGCTCTAATAAGATGTGTTTTCGCTGCCGTGAAAAACTATAATTTCAGGGTCTGCAATTTTGTGGAAATGTTAATTTTTTTAAACTGATTTTATTTTTGTTTAATTTGCTGATTATTTAGTAATTAGAAAAGAGCATTACTAGTTTCCTATAAAATGTGATTATTTTTGGAGATCTCATTTACCAAATATGTTAATTTATAAGCAAGTAATAAGAGATGTTGATGGATTATGAAAGACATTATTAAATGACTTAAGTTTTTTCTGTGCTGTTCATGTTGTAATAAAGAAATTAATATTGAAACGAATTATAATTAAAAAATAAACCACCCACACATTTATTTTAATACTTTAGATGAATTTAAGACCTGGATCCCACAGACGTATGGCAGGTGATAGTGTAACAAAAATGTATGCTAGGTGGTCAAGGGTTAAGATAATTACTGTCTACGAGTACGACAGCTAAAAGCAGCGATGGCTTTATAGTATGGGCAATAAACAATTTTGTCGCGTACGTAAATTTCCAAGAACACGTCCGCAGGAGTCGAACGCAAGTCAGTGAATTGACGCTACTATTTTATATCGATAATTTATTATGTTCAACTTACCTAGTTTTACCGAAATGGGAATGAAATGTGATTTTTCGTCAAATATTTATTTACACCTTCTCTATTTTTTTCTATCTAAATATTTTATACCGTTAACCGTTTATCAGCGATTATCTGTTTGTTTGTACTTTTAGATTACTTGATAATTTTTTTTCAAGTCAAAAGTACAAACAAACGTTAATATATTGTAAGGACAAGTAATTATATTGTAAGGATAGTAGACTAAATTCGTTCTGTAAAAAGCCGTAACTGAAAAATAACAAACAACAGAAAGTCAGTTACAGATCTTTAAAACTAATAAAAAATGGTAAATATTTCAGCCATACATATATTTATTTGTTTGCTGTTTGTATAATTTTGTATTTATTTTATTTAAACATCTGTTTATTTAATACAATGCTATTGTTCCAGGTCCGCCTCCTGAGATTTTACGTTTTAGTAAAATATTCCCTAATATTTTATAAAAACGCAATAGTTTTATAGTTTAATCTTTGTTGCAAGAATGCTAGAGATACGTGTGGGCGTAATTGTGTATTTATTGTTTGTCTACGTGTGATAGCTGCGAAGCGGCGACACGCGTCCTGATATTAAAAGACAGAAGAAGGCATTTCTAGTGCCTTATTATTTAGATTTCTGTGCTTCTACTGTACGTAAAATAGTATTTTTATGCAAGCCCAATGCAGGAAAAAATAATGTGATAACTAGCCGAACACCTGCTTAAAAATACCTGTATTATTTTATGTACATATGTATCATTTAAAACATTCACTGTCAATATGACTGTACATATAAAACAAACATTACCCTTACAGCAGGATTTCCACCTGTACCATGAAGGCGTTTTAATACATAAATTGCACAAGAAAACATCCAGCCAGGGAACAATAATTTGTATGCCATATAAACACATGTTCCCGCGAGATTCAAACCCGCGGACCTCAGAGCCGCAGCTCTACACTTAGATAATGCGCTAGAAGCCTCTGTAACTTGCACAGAAAAAATAAAACGAAGAAAAAATATAAAAATAACCACTTTCACCTTTTCTTTGAATATTATTACATGCACATTATGTAAATTTCTTTCAGACTATTAGTTTTTTCTAGTATTTCCTCAAATTGTCCCTATTAAATGCGATTAAAAGAGTTTTAAATACATTTTAAAGCATTATAAAATATTTATTTATTATATCATTAATGTAAAAATGTTAAGAGTCCATTAAGTCACATTTTGTTTGTGTTTTTTTTTTTTTTTTTTAAATCTTTGACCTAAATAAACAATCAATTTTGGCAAAATACTAAAGTATTTACATAATACTTACTTCTTAAAATTGTATAATTGTGATATAGGACGGATTACAGGAAACCTAATAATCTGGTTCTTATATACATCTCAATGAATATTTTGTGCATACTATGTATTGTAACATGGTGCATTCATTATTATCAAACCAATATGTAAATCAACATAATATAAACCACCATTACTGGTAACATACCATGCTTAGCGGCAGTTTTGTTGGTGTTAACATTTTTACCCAAAGGCCTAAATAGGAGAGACTAAACTGACATCACTTTTCATAAATTAATTATTGATAAATGAATTCACTATGTATATACTAAACAATTCTTTTTATGAATTATACTGTATACAATACAAACATTTTATGGTACAAATTCTTCAAAATAATAACGCTAATGTCCATGTTATAAACTTACATCATGTTACTATTGTAATTGCTCTTTTTTTTCAATCAAAAGTTAATAACAAAGTTCATTTCATTATGTATGTACATTAATTACAGCAGAAAATATTCCCATTACTGTCTATAATGTAATGCTCAGATCTGTATTGTATGACAAGTATAACACAACTTTGGCAATTCAGCATTTACTCCATTGTACACTGAACTGATTTATTTTTAACTTCTATAAAAATAATGACAAACTAAGAAAGTTCACCTGATGGTAAGTGGATAATGTGGCCCATATATATCAATTAAAATTCAGGTGCATGGTCACCCTTCGAAAAGCGACGGTCTAAAAATTCAAGTTATGGATATGTCAGAAATAATTAGTGACATTTAACAACTGCCAGTACAATTTCTGACTTGTAATAGGGATCATCCGCGTACCTCTGACATGTTCATTCTGAAAATGTCTATGTCCAGAAATAAACTGATTAAAGTGGTGATAAAACAGTAATTTATACATGTTAGTGTATAATCAATGTATTGCAGCATCATTAAATGTTAACACTATTAGGTCTTTAGATTTTACAAACAACATTGGGCATATGCACTACTTGCACAGGGAATGAGATATTTTTATTCGCTCTTATTATGCTGAATTTATACTTAATGATATAAAACATAAACAATTGAAAATAAAGTAAAATTGAGCAATACAACATATGGGGTTTAAAAACTTTTAAGGGTAAGTCCTCTTGCCGGGAGGCTGTTAGCTTTGGCTGGGGCGTCCCTCGCTTGAGAATGAGCTACGGCGATGCTCAGGCATTGCGCCCATTCCTCTGCGTTTTTGCCGTCCTTCGGCTTGAGGATCAGAGTTTGATCGCCCGTGAATATCTCAAAAGCCTTCGGAATGTTGCGCGCGCCTCTCGAAACTTTAACGGAGCGTATTTGATTTATGTCTATGCTTTCGCCTCCACTCTAGAACGATGAAAGTTTATAATTTGTTATAAGTAGATAGGATTTGTCCATAAGTTGCCATTACTTTATCCACGTGATTTAGATTGTTTATTAATTTAGGGCTAGTAAAATTCTGCATTATTAAAAGTGTAAAAATAAGTTTGAAAACGGAATTATAAAGCTTTTGATGAAAACGAGACGAATAAGGAATAACAGTACACGAAAAATAAAATTTTAAATCAGGCAAAACATTGTATATCTCGCGGAAAATAAAAGTCTAGCGCTGTACGAAATGTGAAGGAGATAGCTGCGCATGTCGCATCAGTACGCCAATAGCCGTAGCCGTACGTTAGTAGCAGTAGCCAATCTGCGCGTGCGAACGAATCCGAAACCCCCCCCCCCAACCAACTCACAACCTCATGAGACCTTATTATCGACTTATGCGCAATAACGGTCATCGCTAGACTTTCGTGCCGGGTAATATATTGTGTTAACAAAACACTTGTAATAAGAAAAGTTCGAACTTTAAAAGAAATTTCCGAAACTTCGAAAAGATTTTCATAGTAACTTCCGATACTAATAAAAGAAAATTATAAAAAGTAGATTTCTCGTGTGTTGGCAGCGTAAGAGAATCTACCTCCACATTTCGTGACGTGGGTGTCGTAAGAGGCGCTTATAGGATATGCCAAAAAGATATAATGGATTCCGAAATATATAAGCAATGAGTTTAACCCACGCAGAAAAATACAAGGGAAGCAGCGTCACAGATGCGGAAACAAACACTTGTTAAGATGCCGTTAGATTTCATATTTGCATGTGGAAAATAACCTGTCTCTATCAGTTTTGTTACAAAAATACACAATGTACGGACATCTACAATTTACATTTTATTATATGTATAAATTGTACATCAAATGGTGTATCCCAGCGCTACTGAATTTCTTCCTTATAAAATACATCTACCACAATAAAATTGATTTTATTTGATTTGATTTGAAAAGACGAAAACTACGATCGTCTGCCTGAAAACGTGACGGTTACGACAAATCCTTTAAAAGGCAAGGCTCATATTCACTGACTTATATCGACTGATAAAATGATGAAAGATAAAGGAGAAAATAGGTTATAAAAACTACTCACGCTGCCTTTGCATGAAAGATGAGCGCCGGATAGCGTGAAGTATCGCGTGCGCCAGCGCCGAAAGAGTCGCCAGCGGCCCTTCTTCTCCTTGAGCTGTCCCTCGATGACGGGCGTCTCGGCCGCCAGGAAACCCACCGCCCTCTCAGGTCTTGTGCAGAGGAAACAGCCCCATGTGGCGGGCGCACTCAGTTCGAACACGTCGAAGAAACCGGCGGCACGAAGCTCACTGGCTAGCATCTCCTGCTCCTTAACCCCGGGGAATGCGCCCGTCACCAGCGTAAGGAAGGTCTTGTTCTCGCACTTGAGGATGTCCCAGCAGTGCTTTAAGCTAGCCACGGTGGGGTCTCTCGAGGAGAGTGCAGCCGCATGGCGAGCTTGTAGTGCGAGGAACATGAGGTGGATCCAGACCCGGGGCGCGCGAGTTCGCATGGAGAATGCGGCGCGCGCATAAAGGCAGTGCGGCCCGCGGCGCCCGCACGCGAACTGCAGACGTGCCTGCTTCTTCGACCGACGCTCTACAAGTTAAAGGCATATACTCAGATACCGTCTAATTATTTCGATATTTACACTAACCGCGACTCCACATTATCGCCGTGAACCTCCGTGAACAGACGTGAACGTGAATGTGGATGGTTTTCGCGGGAATCACGCGCGTTCGCGCCTATTCCCCGATCAGAGACGGTATTTTGTCCCGCGACAAAGGGTTCACGCACTCTTCGCGCGGCGTTCACGCGTACACATCCACATGCACGGCATCGTGCCAGTTCGTTTTGGACTACAAAGGCGTACGGACGATTTAATTTAATCATACACCATCTTCTTTTTTTTCTCAACGCTTTCTAATAAATTTATGGTTTTGGATGTCTAAATAGTGATTTTTTTATAGGACAGGGTAACAAACGAGCAGTAAGTCCACCTGATGGTAAGATGTTGCTGTGGCCCGTAGACATCTACATCTATCCTCGATTACAAATCAAAACGCAGATGCGTTGTCACCCCTGAGGACTAAGATGAAATACCTCGTTTCCAGTAAAAAGGGTCTCCGGTTGTTTACGCCAAATTGCAAGGCGCTAGTTCCGAGTGGGGAACCGAATAGCGTTGCGCGGGAGGGGGGCGCTCGCTATGCGCATACGACGCTGCCAGCGATCGCAGTCTGCAAGAATCTTTGAGCGCTGCGGCCGTGCCGGTGGGGGTCACGAGATTAGTCTAGAAGAATCCTTGTGCGCGACGACCGTGTCGATTAGAGATCGCGAGAAAAACTCAACAATTAATTTTTTGGCCCGACCCGGGATTCGAACCCAGGACCTCATGATCAGCAGTCGCACTACTACAACCACTAGACCAACGAGGCAGTGGCACAGAGGTTAAACAGATTAGTAACTTCCGTTACTACAAGAATAGTAGATTTTAAAGAAGTAAATTTGCTGTGTGGAGGCAGTATAAGAATCTACCACCCCCTTTCGTTGCGTGGGTGTCGCCAGAGGCGGCTATGGGATATACCAAATAGATTTAATGGATTCCAATAGATGGCGGTTATAATCATCTTGTTTTAGTCGGGCAGTTTTTTTATAGATTGGAAAAGATGAGGGAAATTCCTCCCTGTGTGCCTCTTTATATAATTATTCAAAAAAAGGAGGCGGTACTCAATTCGAATTTTGTTGATTCTTTTTTTATTTGAATGCTGATGATTCTCATATGGTCCCATATAAATTTAATCCAGATCTGACCAGTTGTTTTTTAAAGTTGTCCTTAATAATGCGTATTTAATTGACTTCGAATACATTTATGATCTCATTTTATTTATATTGAAGTCCGTTGTACAAAATTTTTAATTTTACCACTTGTTATATCTTACCTTCAATAGTGCACTTGGCTGGCGGTGGCAACCTCAGCGAAACATTGTCCATATACGCCTTGATTTTGTCCAAGTGTTTCTCGCAGAAATGCTGCACGGTATCTCGCATTGGATACGGTTCGAAGACGCTGATCCGGTGGTTCGAGTTAGTGTTCGTATTCGAGTTTGAGTTGGAACTCGAGTTAATCATGGTGACGCTCGTATTGTTCGCCCGCCGAGACGTTACCGTCACCGGCCCGGATATAGACACCGGGTTCGCGCCGACAGTTATTGGACCAGCCGTTTGACCGGATGTGTTGTTGGCGATTGGCCCATGTGCGTTAGCCGTGGGAGTTATAACAGATATTTGACCCAAGGCGGAGTTGGAATGTTGAATGGAAACGGACGACGTGAGCGGCGTGAGTGCGTCCGTGGATTTGCCCGTTGTTAACGGGTTGACGGATATAGATTGTGTTTGTAGCGGTGGCCCGGTGATAATGGTGGGACCGGTGTTCTGAAATTAAAATATTTACCGTTACCGTTACAACCTGTAAGAGTTCACCGCTGGACATAGGCCCCGCCCATAGATTGTCTCATACTCTCATATGAGGGCAATTTACCATAGTTGCCACCATAGAATACTATAATACACAATAGAATGGCTGTCAACTTTATTTTGTACGAGGCTTGGCGTCACCAAACCCGATTCGCTGTGATGACAGATGACAGACTGAATAAATTTACACATTTTAGACTTTTGATTAATGTTCAAGATCATCATTAAAAATCGTTTAAATTTTAATACATATTTATTTGTAAATAGGGTGCAATTTGACAATTTCTAAATAATTTGCATGCGAAATTTGGAAAAGATTGTAACGTCAAAACTCATCTCGAGTTACAAGTGTAAATTGACGTGTGAGTGACATTTTAGTGGCTACGCGGGCTCCGTCCATTCCCCCGTTCTATTATGTATGTATTATAGTATTCTATGGTTGTCACGCTTGGCAAACGGGTTGACAACCACAGCTTTTTTAATTTTTTGTCGTTATTACGAAGACAATGCGCCACCCACGGGATGCCAAGGGGTAATGGATATTCTTACACCGCCACTACTCAGTAATATTTATTTATTTATTCTTTACTGCAACACACCTTCAACTAGGGGTTACAGGTTAGGTACAAATGAAAAATAAAAAATGCTGTGACTTTTTATTTCGATAACAATTTCTATTGAATTCACAGTGGCGAAGCTACCATTAAAGCCGAAAAGCCGGGCTTGCCTTACAATTAATAATATCAACTAATAAAATAACTCGTAAAATGTTTCAAGCTATTTCAACACTCCACTGTTCGACACATGTCGACCGATGACCTCGTATTGCCTTAGCGATACTGCTGCTATCATAAAAAATGAGTTTTAATAGAGCTAATAGTTGTCTCCCTCGCTCGCGTGGGCTTTTTACGGGGCTTTCGAGAAGACGATCGCTCTCTTTCTAACCTATGGCAAAATATTCTATAATGAAATATAACTACGATTGTATACATAGCAATTAGTAGAGAGATTTAAACAAACCCAAACGGCTTTCTTCAAAGCCACCGAAGCTATGCAATTGCTGATATGTAATACAATCTATCTAGCAGTGGTATGCCTTCTGTGTGCTTTGTTAAACACGTCCTTGACAGCACTGAATATGAAACTGAAGCGTGGAGACAGATCAAGATTGGTGTATTTTTATAAAACTGCTAAAAACAACAATCTATATTTTTATCAATTTATATCTTGGGCTTGCCCTAGCTTGGAGCTCTAGCTTCGCCACTGTGCATTCACCACCCTATTTCGACTCACGAGAGTCGTAAAAGTTGGCTATAGGCAATACGAAAAAAGCTTACACCAAACGTAATATTCATTCCCGTTTACACCAAACGTACAAAAAAGATTATTGAGGGGCAGCGTCAACTGCTTGAAATAGGGTATTACTTACCAAGCGAGGTGATTCAGATGGTGTAGAAAGGTCATCAAGGTCTCAAGGTCATATAACATGATACAAATCTTTTCTACAACACGAAATGCCCATAGTCAGCGGCTGTGTATGATATACAGGAAAAAACACAAATAAATATATCATCATAACAACCTATTCACCACAAGTTCACCGTTGAACATAATCCCTCACTAATTGTCATACAGCACGGTCCTAAGCTTAGAACATTCACCAAATATCGTCATGCCTCATCAGGTACCTACTCTGTGTAACGAGGATTTCTTTCTCCACCACAACCATCATTTATTCCCATATGAATTTGTTTGGTGAATAACAGAGCGAATGTTTATTTATTTTTTTTTATATAAGAGAGGAGGCAAACGAGCACACGACTCACCTGGTGGTAAGTGTCGCCGGCCATGAACAACTACAACACCAGGGGAATCGCAGATGCGTTAACGACATTTTAAAAAGGAGTAGGCTCATTTTTTGAAGGCCCCTAAATCGTATCTGTCCGGAAAAATGTCCGGTAGTAGTCGATTCCACAAGGAAGTCGCGCGAGGAAGAAAACTTCTTTTAAATCGCACAGTGGTGGACCGCCAGTCATCCAAATGGTATGGATGGTATCGCGAGTTTTGTCGCGATGTGCGATGGTGAAATTGTGCGACTGGAATTAGTCCGAACAATTCCTCGGAGCACTCCCCGGGGTAAATGCCATATATTTCTCCACTACGATCTCAGATATGAGCAAGCAGCGTTCATTGTTTATTTTACTTTATGGCGGGGCTATCGTCGCATCACATTAGCATAAACGGATCTAACAAAACCGAAAACTACGCTGAAAAACACGCTACTAAAGTTTTCGAACGGTTCTGTATTATATAGAACAAACTGTTCTAAAAGTCTAACAGACGGAGTTCCCCGCTTCCCAAGCTAAACACCTAGCCTGGGAGATGTCCCTTTTCTCTTCCACGGTTTAATCAATTTTTCTCTGGTGACCGGAAATCCACAACTGTAGTGTCTGCCCAGATGTACTCCTAAATAGTAGGAGAAGGCTTTACCATATCTGCCCAGACGGATTCCTAGGTAGTAACGGCTTTACCATTTAATGACAAGAAGTAAATAAATACCGTGGCATTTGAGGGTCCAATGAGTATGTTGTGGTGATGGTGGCGCCGCGCCGCGCCGCCACTGCCACACTTTGCGGTGCCCGCTGCCAAAACATTGCACACGTTAATATGCGAACATCACAAGTTGAAAATTCTTACAAATTATTAGAGAACGCTCAACTCCTTGGATAATATAAAAAATAAACCGATTTCAATTTATTTTCGAATTTGGTTAAAATTTATTTGACGCCAGTACATATTAAACTTTTTCCTTAAATATAAAAAAATGGTCAGCCTTTTTCAGGGACAAACTATTGCTTAATTAGGTAAATCACAAACATACAATCATATTTAGCACCTCCAGTCGTTTAAAAATGTCAATATTTCATTTTCCCGAACGCATAGTACGCGCCCTTAAAAGAACAAGGCCCAGCGGGGCTTATCCAAGACTTTCTATGATCGTTAACGCGAAAGAAAACTATAAAAATCAACGGGAATGACATACGCGAAAGCTAATTATTAACGTTCCAATACAGACACGTTGGTTAAACTTATAGAATACTATAATACACTATAGAATGGCTGTCAACTTTATTTTATACGAGGATTGCCGTCGCCAAACCCGATCCGTTGTGTTGACAGACTGAGTAAATTTACACATTTTAGACTTTTTTTGATTAATGTTCAAAATCATCATTAAATTTTAATACATATTTATTTGTGAATAGGGTGCAATTTGGCATTTTCTAAATAATTTGCATGCAAAATTTGGAAAAGATTGTAACGTCAAAACTCATCTCGTGTTGACCATTATACGGGTGAATTGACGTGTTAGTGAAATTTTAGTGGCTACGCGGGCTCCGCCCACTCCCCCGTTCTATTATGTATGTATTATAATATTCTATAGTTAAACTTTTATAGACATAAGAAATAATATATACCACATGCAGGTTGCGAAGTACAAGAATGTTTACTTGTTTGATTTTTATAAGAGTCTGCAATTAGATACCTCTGTTAAGTGGATTTAACAAAAGCGCCACGCTCTGCGGGCGGGATAGCTATTGCAGTGATATGTCCGTTACATTTACTTTTTGAAATAGAGCCCGGGGAAATGGAGTTTAGCCAAATTAGATAATAAACGAGTCATTTTATATCTGTAATATTTTATTTCATTTACATTTTGAAATACAAGCCAGTGAAATGGAGTTTAGCCAAATTAGAAAGTACACTTACCAACAACGGGTTGATTGGCGTTTTGTTGAAGGTTGATCTGTTGCGAGGATGACAACCGCGTCATGCTTTTGTGTAAACCTCCTACTGAGCCACCTGTAAACACGAATTGTAAATTATTATAGTCCATTAATAACATTATGTTGAAAATATTAATAGTTTAGCACTGAAATCTAAGGGCGCAATCGGACTGCACTAGCGGGTGCGGGGGGCGGGCGCGGGCGCTCCGCTCTTGGCGTCTGCGTATTCAGAGTGCCGAACGAGCTACGAGTGTCATTGCACATGTGTTTGGTCGTTCTCAAACTTTGCTACGTATTTAGAAGACATAGATGAAATTTGCTTTTATTAATTCATACTTGAAATGGAAATTGCAATATATGCAGTTTGACACACACGATCCAAATAAAGGAAGAGAAGAGTTTGGAGAATTTTATGTATTATACGCTGATTTACGGACGTATCCCGATAAATTCTTTGAATACTAGAGAATGTCATTACACACTTTTGACTACATATTAAATAAGATCTCACCATGTTTAGTCAAGATTGACACCAATTTTAGAAAAAGTATAAAACCTGAAGAGAAACTGCATATAACAATAAGGTAAGTGCATGTTTCCATATCTAAACAACATTTGTTTTAATCACTAATATTCATTTATTTATTCTTAATTAAAATCTATAAATCAGTCGAAAATTACGTTTATGGAGTAGTTAATTAATTACTGTCTATCCATGTTGTGATAAGGGTTGAAATCCACGTTGCCTTGGGTATTATAGCCATATGAGTCATATCGTCTTTCGTACTCCAATTTTTCTGTCTCTGTCATTAATAATTGCATAATTTTGTTCTTTACCCGCAGTTTTTGTATTGGCGGAAATGCTTTCATTTGTGGAGTGAGACTTTTAAATAAATAATAATCTTCACATTTCTCTTTACCATCATTTGAAGATGTGGTTGCCTGCGAAAGTTTCATTTGAAGTAACTCAATTTTTTTTTATTTTCGTGTTCAATAAATTGCTCTCTGTAATCAGAAGCACACTTACGCTTTTTGCTTCCTGAACTCGATTGAGATACTGAGTGACATCAGTTACTATACTAGAGTCATCTGTATCGGCATGGTCTTGCGAAATGTTGTGTGTTACTGCATCCAAATTTCCTGAAGATTGTTCAGCAGTTAAATCATCTTTAATAAATAACATTTGTTGAAAATAAGGCCAAGTGGACTGCAGAGTATCACCTGGATCACCTGAGCGTGCTGGTGGAAACTTCTTTAGTTCTTTACGAAAATGGTCCCTTAAATTTTTCCATTTTTTTCGCAGCTGTTTATCTGAAAATAATTTGTGTTTAATACTTTGTTACAGATATTTGTCTACTGGCATGTCTTTTACAGCATTGTCACACAGTTTTAGAAAAGGTGTAAGTACCATTTCAACTTTAGTCCATGAAACATGTATGACAATGTGGAATGAGTTAGTACATGCCTCCTCCTACGGAACTATAATTTAAAATGGTAGCTGAAGATTATTATAGACTTTGGAATTTTCCTAATTGCATAGGCAGTCTAGATGGAAAGCACTGTCGAATTAAAAAAACAAAAAAAATAGTGAATCTCTTGATTTTAATTATAAAAAGTTTTATTCGATAGTACTTCAAGAAGTTGCCGATGCGAAAAGGAAATTTATTGCAATTGAAGTGGGTGGACGAGGAAACGAAAGCGATGGTGGTACTTTTCATGCTTCTGCTTTGCGCCATTTAATAGAGGAAAATAAATTAAACATTCCAAAACCAGAAAAGTTACCACATTCTAACATAGTTGCCCCTTACGTGCTCGTAGCTGATGAAGCGTATTCATTAAAAATTATTTGTTAAGACCCTTTCCACGTAGCACATTGAACGTGCAAAGAAGACTATTTAATAGAAGATTATCTACAGCGCGGCAAACAATTGAATGTGCCTACGGTATCCTAAGCATGAAATGGAGGATATTACAAAAATCTATTGAAACCAGTTGAGAGAACGCTTGCTTGATTATTAAAACAACATGTTTATTACATAATATCATACTAGACTTAGATGGTGACGCTGATCCAGATTGTCATACCTGGGCTACAGCCAAAATCAACGATAATAACATGCAAAATGTAATGCGTAACTCGGATAGAAATCCTACAAGACAAGCAAAAATAATTCGTGACAAGTTTATGAATTACTTTTATGAACATACCCATTAATTTTTCAGTTTAAAGATTTTCATGTTGGTAGGTAGATTAATTTGTTGTGTTAGTACCTACCTACATATTAAACTAGCACGTACATATCTACCTACTCTAAAGTTATAGGTAGTTATAATCCGTAATTTTAACAATTATATGAAAATAAACTAACCGTTACTTCCAGGAAACAATTGTTTTATTTCTTCCCATAATTTATTTATGGCCACCCTATTTAAATGTTGCAGATGTTTGCTCTGCCAAATAGCAGTGCGATGTTGTACTGCAGATATAAATTCTTCAGTATTGATATCCATGATGATTGACGACGCTTCGGCGGGTGGATCAAAATGGTTTATAACCACAAGTGTAGTCACCTAACAGACGTTATATCACTGTGAACGATGCGGGCGGGCTGAGCCATTAGAAATACCCGCACCCGCCTCATGCAGACGAGTGGCTCGCGGGAGCACTCTGAATGCAACTGGCGTCTACATACATTTTCATTTACACGTACCCGCGCTTGCACCCGCGCCCGCCTCCACTCTGAAAGAGTACTAAGGAGTAAATGGGATTAATAAATATATATCCATCTCTTAACTTCGATTTAATGTAGTGTTACTGAAAATTTACTATTTTTGTTACAGCCTATTTAGTTAGACAGGTAACACCATGTATTATAGTATTCTATGGGTAACACTGACTGTTTTCTTTTATAAACTTTTTATGTCAAATTTATGGCATACTGATATTTGATTGCTAAATCATTAAGTAATAGGTATGTACTACATAATAGAACCCACAACGCGAACAAAATCTTAGCGAAAGCGGGGGGCGTGTGGAAGGATGCACAGAGTATTTTATGGCAAAGATTAAGTTGTTTCAGCTTGCGGGCTCCAACGCATGTTACAAAAGACCAAGTTCTGGCGTTCTAGTTCGTTGTACATATAACTTTATTGTAATGCTAAAGAAATTGTGTAAATTTGTTCCATGCAAATAAAATGAAGTGAAACTTCTTTATCGACGTGGTGGAGAAATTTAATACGGTATTAAACAGTCACGTTTTCATGTACCATTTCACCAAAGACAAATTTCTTTATCGATGTAGTGGAGAAATTTAGCACGGTATTAAAAGAACGTCACGTTTTCTTGTAACGTTTTACCGCCGGGGCTTTTTTATAGAATAAAGGTGAAAAAACGAGCACAGTCTACCTGATGGTAAGTGAATGCTGTGGCCCATAGAATGTACTCATTTCCAATAAAAAGGGGTCTCCGGTTCTCTACACTCCATATGAAACCATATGAAACATACTAAACGTACCTACTTAAGTAAAATATAAAATAAAAGAAGAATGACATGTCTGAAAGAAGTTTCACTTCGTACGTGATACACAATTACACGCACAATTTTTTTGTTCAAAGCTTACCAGCGACATTAAGTCTAGTCATGCTCCTGTGCGAGTTAGGCCCCGAATGTAGTCGGCCCGTACTTCGCGAATCTCCCAATTTGACTCGTCTCGTGTAGCCCCCAGTAATGGGAGGTGCGGGGGGCGTAGCCGCGACCGTACTGGGTGTTGAAGCCCCCGCCGTGCTAACAGTCGTGGAACTCGAAGGCGCAGCCCCCGAACTTGTAGTCGTAGTACCCCCTAGTTTCACTATTGTGACGCCCCCTGGTGTTCTGTTCACCTCACTGTGAGAAATTGTCGATTTCGGTCGACTGCTGCGAATGAGAGTAATATTACCCGTTAGTAAATTACTGTTAGAGTTTTTTTAATTACCCAAACCCCACGCTTATTATTCTCTGCATTCATTGATTTGAATCTTATTTCATGTGTCTCGAATTTTTAATAACTCAACTTCACACTCAGTAATTCAATCATTAGGTATTAGATATTGTATACTCTTCAACAATAAAGTCCAAAAAATATAAACGGCCTGTTTACAAACAAACATTTTTATTAAACAAAGACGAAGATTTATCAGTTTTAAGGAGGCAATTTGTATTAGTTGCACATAAAAAACACTATTGCTCAAACACAGAAAAGCTGTCACTAAATAAAAGGTTTCATAATTTTAAGTCACTATAGAATTTTATAATTTAAGCGTAAAGAGAGTTAAAAATAGTTTTAGAGAATGTTTTCAAATAATCATGTTATTAAGCGTGGCTTGGCATTCGATCTTAATAAAAGTCAGTCACTTATGAGCGGTTTGTTGTCAATTCTGGTGATAGGTAGCATCCCATGTGCCTGTCACCAGAGTTGACAACAACCCGCTTCACTAATACATTAACCGTGTGGATACGCTGGGTACAGCACAGCTGCTTCACAAGCACACTTGTAAATATGTACACTGCGCGGCACCTGCTGATGGCGGAGCACAGCGTCATGGGCACGTGCACACATGCACACGTGTATACGTGGCATCCTGGCACCTGCTGTTGGCGCACACCGCGCCCAGCAGGCGGTCGGTGAAGAGCGCGGGGGAGTGTGCACGTGCACACGTGGCTATGTACAGTCCGCGGCACACACCTGATGTTGGCGCGAACGGCGGCCAGCAGGCGATCGATGAAGAGCGCAGGGTAGTATGCACGTGCACACGTGACTATATACAGTGCGCGGAACGCACCTGCTGTTGGCGCGCACGGCGGCCAGCAGGCGGTCGGCGAAGTGCGCAGAGTAGTGTGCATGTGCACACATGCACACGTGACTATATACAGTGCGCGGAACGCACCTGCTGTTGGCGCGCACGGCGGCCAGCAGGCGGTCGGTGAAGAGCGCGGGGTAGGCGGAGCAGAGCGCGGTGGCCTCGCGCAGCAGCGCCGCCTGCTCGCTGCGCTCGCCGCCGCTCAGCCGCTCCACCACGAAGTTCAGCGCCTCCTGTGCACGCTCCTGCACACGGACCAAGAAAACTCTACAATTACCCCGCCGATGACGAAAACAACATTTGTAGCAAAACATTTGTAACAACTTACTCTGCTTGTGTGACCAAGCTGTGCCAGAATGGTGGCCACTAGAGCAGAGGCTCTAGCGGTAGCATGCGGAGGCCTAGCAGCTCTCCGGATCGCAGCACTATGCTCCACGACTAAGGACGCGCGACTTCGACTTATGCAAACCATCAGCTGCAACAAACACATAATTATTTTTTTAATAGAATAAGTGTGACAGACGACGTGGTATGAAATACTATAATATAAGGTTATGTACTAAGTAATATTAAAACAACTCGATGTTTTTATGTCCAAAAAGTGATTAGACTGCTTATAAAATTGATGGAATCCATATCAGTAGATTATTTTTTATTCAAACTGTTCAGTAGAACCTGAAAATATTACAAAATTGAATTATGATGCATATTTCAAAAACTCGAAAGTTGTTAAGTGTTTAGGAAATATTATATTTAAAAATGAAAAGTGTACGCGTAGATAAAGACAAAAGAAGCGCTCAGCTAACATAAGAAAGCTTTTGCTTATGGTTATGTAATGTATGCACTCAGTCGAACCTAACCTGTAATAAATCCACACACATACAACCAGGATCACTCTGGCTGGCGGTGTTGTTACACAAGTACGATAGCAGCTGCGGCACGCATGTCTTCAGCGCCTCGGGCCTTCGCACTGCTATTTGCTCGAACAACGCGAACAGAGAATTTTTCTCGACCTTATTATATAAAAAAAAACATGCTGTATATTATACATGTCAATTTTTTTATCCTCTGGAACTGGTTAATTGAACAAGGTGGATTTAACTACGAGTGTTTATAACCGAATTGGCAAAATTAGCACAAGTTATTTTCTTCAACCATTCTCATGTTTTGGATACCTGTGACAGATCCAAAATATTCATATCAATATGATAATTAATTATTAATTTCAGAGATGGATTTAGACACAAAATAGGTCAATGTTTGAAGCAATTGCATGCATAATCGGAGTATAATAAAACAAATGTGTGCAATCATTATTAATACTGATTTTGTACATAAAAGACAATGACCGAAAGTCGTCCAAATGTCCACCACTAAGCTAGACTTAATTTAACGAATAGTCCACTAAATAGACACTTTCATTATGACATGAAAGATAAAAACATTGTCAGTAAAAAGTTATGACCAAATGAAAAATATTTTTTTAGTTTTCAATTTTTAGCTCCATTATTTTTCTATTCACAGTCAATAATTTTTTTTTTATTTTACGCTGCAGTCTGGTGTTAATTGACTCAATATTTATTGGATTATTTTGTTAAATATGTCATGTTAGTGGTGGACATTTGGACCAAGACCCCATTCAATTATGTTCATTCCCCTTTAGTAATGAAAAACTTTATTATAAAAAGCTAGTCTTGAAGTTAAAACAGGGTAACTAAAGCTATAACAAAATAAAACTTGACTAACTTGTTCGGCGTGAGGTAAAAGTGAGACGAGTGCAGTGACATGCCCTTCTAGGGGCTCTGGACATACTTCATATAAATTAGTTAGGATGCGACAAAGTGGGTAATTGCCTGAAAATATAATAAAAAAATGTGTGAGTTAGATCAAAATAGTGCACGTACTTTCGCATGGTCTAAATATATGCTAGGTAAGTTTCTATGCTCAGGATATCTTTATGTGATGAAATTTGCAACAAGGATATTCACATTAGATATAAACAAATTATAACAGTAGGTATAATATAATACATACATTAAAATCACAATTAAAAATAACTCTACATAACTATTCCTTCATTAAGATTTTTAAAAAAATTACCCACCAGACATTATAGAGTCCATGATGGTTTGAACATGGGGCTTAAGTAACGGCGCATGATGCACTGCAGCCAACGAAAGATACCGGGCCATGTGACGTGATATCTCTCTATTGCCCTTGTGTAAAAATTGCACTGCTACTGGTAGGAAAAGCTCCATCACCTCCTTGTTGCCACTTGTCTCTTTATCTGACTGCAGTGGAAATGATACCTACCAAATTTAAAATAAAAATATTCTTAATTTATACTAGTGCCTAGTGACTACTGTCACCAGTAATAACCTACGGAAATGAGATGGGAGATTTGGGAGATTCTTAACTGCTGGAAATGAGCAGTATGGGAAAATCAAAATTTTCTTTCTCAATGTTTAAAAAAATCAAAAGTTTAACTACAGAATTATATTTGTTTGCATTTTAAGATGACATTTTGTTTATTAATATAATATGATTTAACATTATTTAATATCTCCAGACCAAATGTCATTTATGGCAGTCTACCTTTTTACTTTAATTGAATTCAAGTAATTGCTCAAAATATGTAGAGACATTTAGCAGATGACAGAGCAACCATCTCCAAAATAACAAGCCTAAAATGACATAAAATCTCAAAAATTCTTATCCTACAATCACCAATTCTTCTTGTAATCACACAACTCTATGAAAACTTACCAGCACAATGCAAGCTATTATATCCGAGGCAATCTTTGCATGTGGTGGATCATCATCTCTAAGATGACCAACAGGCATCAGATTATGGTGCAAACAAGATTCAAGAAGCGACACCAGTGCCCCGCAGTATTTGGGCAAAGTTCCTGTTTCTTTAATGCAAGAAGTAGTACGTGTTACACATATTTCTATGAGAGCCTGATCGCGGTCATTGCGGCAATAATCAGGTCGAGACGATATCTCAGTTATTTGCTTTAACTGAAATTAAGAAAACAAAACAATTAAGTAACTTAGCAAAAGCAACAGTTTAAAAAATAATAATTCTATTCTACTTGTACTAGAAAATAATGTATATATCTACTGAGTGTCTTAATTAATGGTTCAGCTGTTTTTTTTTTTAAATTCTAGGCCAGAGCTTGACTATTATCCCACATGATGGTAAGTGGTGATGCACTACTTCAATAATTTACACGCTCAGCTTTGGAAAAATTTAGTAGACTGTAGACAAGCTAGGCACGCCCTACCTGAAATAAACAGTCATCTAACCAAAGTACTAATGAGACTGAACAAGCCACAGATCAGGATAGTAACAAGTGCTATCACAGGACATGGCTCTTTTAACAAACATTTGTTCACCATAGGTGTTACTGACAGCCCCCTGTGCAGGGCATGCATGGGAGAGGAAGAAACAGCGGCTCACGTGTTGCTGACATGTCCAGAAATCGCTTCATACAGGGCTAAACATCTCGGCACGCCGGGATCGATAACCGAAGTTGCTTGCAACATCAAGTGACTGCTGAGCTTCCTCGTGGAGATATCATGGCTCGAATAAGCATATTATTCCTGCCCACACGCAAAATTCGCGCTTAGACGTGGAGTTGTGCAAAACAGCCCGTCGTAAACTAAACTAAACTTAAAAGTGGTGATGCAGCCGAAGATGGTAAATTGCATTAAATTAACAAAAGCCTGTTCACTTTTGCATTGAACACACCCACATTGTAATCGGTTGGAAAGACAGATGTTTGCAATTATTCCACTCTTTTGCCATATGCATGATAAACAAACATTCAATAACAGGTCATACTACTACTAGACTACTTATCTATTTTGGGACTTGCACAAGTCTTTAATTAGAACTTACAGCATAAGTAAGTTATTAAATAAGCATTATAAAAACAGCAATCTATTATTTTTCCTTCCTTTTCTTTTAGGTTCATTTACAAGCAGCTTTTAATTTTTACCAATTTGTGAGACTTGTAGAATGATATTAATGTTTTTACAAGAATTTAAACAAAGAAATCTTATAATAAGTTTTACAGATAATAATAATGATAATATATTTATTTGATTAATTCATTCATTTTTAGAACAATGTTGAGACCTAGTAAGTAAAGTACTTGTAGCAGAAGGTCTCGCAAAGTTTGGGACTCAGCAGAAGCAGAATGTCTCATATAGAGATATGTAATAAATGTAATATTTTTAGTTTTAACATGAAGTTGGGGATCATTTATGTAAGCAATATTAGCCAGCAACTGCTGGATGTAGGTCTTTTTCAAGATAAATAACTAAGGCCAATATTTGGCTTCACTCTATCATTATCAATAACAACATTCATTAATTACATTTTTTAACAATAAACTACAAGCTCCGAATAAATGAATGAATAAAAAGGTTAGTTTAGTTCCATTTTAAAAAATAAGTTGATTAAACTATAGACATCTGGTACTCGAGTACGGTGGTGGGAGTGGGAGGGGGAGGGCGAGGGTTCAGGGGAAGCCCCTCCTTTACCCTTCCCCATTTGCGGTATAGTTTATGAGTATTTTTTTTGTAGTCATAACCTCACTTTTTTACACAGTAATATTGACACAAAGTTACTTCTGCAATAGCTTCGGCACTGCGGGAAGTGCAGGCCCGCCTGTTGTAGCTCTGCCTCCACACCTACGGCTTTACAATAACACTCTAGGGATAGGGCAGACCAGACTATGTGAAGTCGGGGTGTGCTAATTTGGTTTTAAAACTGATTCGACCAATCGTATCTCTAAAGTCAGGTTGCCCTAAACTCTGCTATGATAGTGGTAAATGAAATAATGTAATGTTAATTGTCATAACTTTGTTTTTTGAAAAAATCTTTTGACTGCTCTCCACTGCCACTCAATTTATTATAAATGAATTCCATCTTCAGCCAAAAATGAATTATCTGGGTCCAAGAGATTAACTTTTTTATGGGTGTTTTATTTTAATTATAAATTAATTCAAAAGGCATTTCCGAAATCCAAAAACAGTGTAAAAGGTTCGAGCTTAACCCTGACAAACCTCAAACAAAATTAAAAAATCAAGTACCGGACGTCTACTTCAAAATACGAGAACAAATTGAAATATTTGCATTTCGTTATAAGCAATTTTTTGTGAAATTTCTTTTTATCGTAATTAATTCAAAACGCATTTCTGACATACAAAGGCAGTGTAAAAGGTTCAATCTTAACCCTGACAAGCCTCCTAAACTGAAAAGATAATTAAAATCAAGTACTGGTAATCTATAGGCAAACCAATAAGTCAGGGAATGTATAACTACTATCAACAGTCGAATAACAAACAAACTGTTTGTACGTATAACAAATATATAACAACAATAAGATATAACAACATAACAAGTGCTTACAACTTCATTTAAGTCATCCACAATGTCAGAGTCCGGGATGGCGAATAAATCGCCTGCTCGAGTCAAATCGCGCTCATTAAGCACGTGTTTAAGCAGTTCATGCATATTGCTACTTTGATTTTGGACTAATAACTGGAACTAGAAAGCTTTCAAGAATGTACTTTCGAGAAATAAACACTGTAATGGACACATCAACACCACCTACGGAAAATTGGATTTAACCCATTTCACCAAACGCCTAAAACTTATCCATTTATCTAACAATGTTTTGTAGATGTGCTTTCTGTTGTCTTTAATACAAATTTTAATAATAAAAGCTAAAAAATACGTAGAATATCAATTCAGCAATGTATCGCTTCGTTCAGAAATTGGGTGATAGATTGATGTAGTGTAGTAGTAGGAATGTCATGAAAGATATTTAAAAACATATCTTTGAATGTCATTCGTTCATTGAACTCGACAAGTTCATTCATAAATAGCCTGCGTATATTGGAACTGTTAACATAAATTCATGAATTACAATGTGGAAATAATTAAAAAAAATGCTATATAAATATCTGTATACCGTAGGTATATTATCGTAGACAGAGAATATATTATTCTAAGTCCATTTTTTTCGACATTCACTTTGTAATGTCATTAACACAAACAATTAAAAATCTACTTGGTGGTACAGTATTTCAAGTCCAATTAAAAAAACTATAAACTTTCGAATTCGGTAATATTTTTAAAGTCCAGATTACTTAAAAGATATACGATCTCATTTGGACTAATGCTTTTGTGTCGCTCAACTGGGTATTTTACACCATGTAAAATAAAAGCAAAAATATATATATTTATGATAGATTTTGTAAAAAGTAAACGAGAAATATTGATTTCTGTTGTAAAATTGCATTATAAATTTAATATTTCAATTTTTAGAATATTTTTTTTCGTCTGTGCCTTAAGGGTCAGCGCACACCAAGCAGAGTAGAGCAGATCAGCTAATAAAGGAGTGCTATAATAAATACATAAATACAATAGAGACAAATATTAAAACCAACCCCAAACTATTTTGGACATATATCAAAAATCTACGAAAGAATTGCTCATTATATCCTAATACCATGACCTTTAAAGATGATAAATCATCAGATACAAAGCTAATAGTGGACATGTTTGCATCTCATTTTTCTTCAACATATGAAAGAGATCTTAATGATAACAATTCAAAAAATAATATGTACACTGGACTAATACTTTGATGTTATCGGAGAAATTCAATTTAGACCAGAAGATGTCAAAAATAAACTGAAAAAGCTAGATATCACAAAGGAAGTAGGCCCAGATAATATACACCCACTACTTTTATTAAACTGTGCAGATGCGTTGACTTCTCCACTAACTTTTCTATACAATCGATCTCTCAAAATGGGCATATTCCCCAATGAATGGAAACTAGCAAGAGTAGTCCCTATATTTAAGAATGGAGCAAAAGACTTAGTAGTTAACTATCGTCCGATTTCTATCTTATCAGCAATACCAAAAGTATTTGAATCATTAGTTCACTCTGTAATTTATCGGCATACTCAAAAATACATCAACGAAAATCAGCATGGTTTTATGTCAAGGAGCTCGACCAACACTAATCTTATTCTTTTCACTTCAGATTTAAAAGAAAAAGTAGATCAAGGCTTACAAGTTGACGCCATCTATACAGATTTTTCGAAAGCTTTTGACAAAGTAAATCATAGCATCCTGATTAATAAATTATATTTATTTGGAATTACAGATAACCTACTGGAGTGGTGTAAATCTTACCTTTCAAATCGCTTTTCTAGGGTGGTAATTGATGGCAAACAATCTGGGCTATTTGAAGCATTTTCGGGAGTTCCCCAAGGCTTGATTTTGGGACCGTTATTTTTTAACATTTTTGTCAATGACATAACACGTGTGATAAACCATAGTGATGTATATCTTTTTGCTGACGATCTTAAAATTACGAAAATAGTTTCAACGGCTTCAGATGCGCAACACCTCCAGGAAGACATTAATAATCTTCACGAATGGTGTAACAACAATAAAATGTTTTTAAATGCTACAAAATGCTATCATATTAAGTACAGCAGAAAACGTAATAAATTTGAATCGATATACACAATAGCAGGCACAAAGTTGGAAGAAGTGATCACTATTCGAGATCTTGGTGTTATAATGGATGGTCATCTGAAGTTTGCGGATCATATTAACAAGATAGTGGCGGAAGCAAATAGGTCGCTTGGCTTCATATTGAGAAACACAAAGGATTTTAAAAAGCCAGCCACTGTCATTAAGCTTTACAACAGTTTTGTAAGAAGCAAGCTTGAGTATTGCAGCACAGTATGGTGCCCCACTTATAAAACTCACATAGAGAGGATCGAGAAAATTCAGAAAAAAGTAATCCGTAGTTTAACTTACCGTTTTGGTACTCCAAGAAATGTCAAAACCTATCATGAAAAAATTAAGCATTTTCAACTAGAACCCCTTTCCCTACGCCGAAATCACTTAGACATGTCACTCCTACATAAGATCATAAATAATTACATTGACTGTGTCCCGTTATTGTCCAAATTTCAATTTAACGTACCATGCAGAATACCAAGATATCCGTGTAGCCTTTTTAAGATCAAATTTTGTAGAACCAACTTAGGTCGCGACTCCCCAGTAATCCGTATATCTCGCCTGTACAACAAGCTCACCAAAAATGAACCCGACCTCGACGTTCACCATGATACCCTTGCTCAATTTATTGCCAAACTAAAGCATGTTGACGTACATAATGATTTCTTATATTTACGCGAACACTACACATTGAAATAATAATAGTTTTTACGGAATTTATCGCGTATTTACTTTTGTAAAAGATAAATTCCGTAAAAACTATTATTATATCATGTTGACGTACGTTAAACTTCAGTTACACAATTAACTTTTTAATTATTTTTTTCAATTATTTTATCATTATTTTTTATTTTTTATTTAAGAACATATGTTTCTCAATTTTGTTTAACATTTGTAACACAACGCAATGTAATGTAACCAAACATTAATTGCTGTTTCTTATGTTGGTAATCCAAATAAAAAAAAAGATCATTTTCTGAGAACAGAACAGTAAAATATTAATTTTATGACTATTGACAGACAGTGCAAAATTATATACACGTCCAAACTTGATGCTCGACCATGCTCCAGCTTGCAGGATGCATGTTCATGTTCATGTTGCATGGTCGAGTAGTCAAAATTTTGCTCGAGCATGCGCGAGCATTTTGCAGTTCGATCTGCGCTTAACCTAAATCTGTAAAATGGTGTCCGTCATATTAGCAATGTCATGACGTCACTGATCCAGTCTAAGGGTATTAGTGTTCTGTATCACTAAGAATTATCTAACGTGCTGTGTTATTTCGAAAATTTTCAAGTTATCATTACGATTATTGAGTTTTATTACATATTTTATTGAAAAAGCATCATGGAAGACGAATTCGTAAAAGCAGAAAGTACTAATCTACCAAGGATAATTAAATTGATTGTGGCAATTTTTTTTGCATGCAATCGCAATTTTTGTTCTGCTGAGTTGAGGAATGTTAAAACGTCAATGTACCTATTACCAACTTTTGTTTATACAAAAACACAATACCAAGTGAGAGTGTATTTTGATAAAATATAGTTTAGTAGCTGTCATAGTTCAGTTTATCTATAATTACAATCATTAGCAATCATGAGTTATAATATCTAAGTTAACGTAATTTATTACAAAATTACTAAATTACTTCACATCATGATGTTTGTTTTGTATTAAACGATAGTTAAATATAAGTCATACTTACATCAAAATGATGAATAGTCATGGAATAGTCTGGTTTATGTAGACAATGTATTCGGGTATCTTCTTGCCAATTTTAGTCGAGTGTTTCTTATATTTAAATCAGTTAGCACTTGAATCCACAAATTTCCCCGGCGTTCTTATGCTCGTATTTATACATTCAGGCACCACACAACAATGATTTAGATGATGTCATTATTAAACATTAAAAGGTCTTATTCCTATGCTAAATCGGCAGAATCGACGACTGTGACGTCACGAGTAAGTTGACATCAAAACGATAGATTAAAATTAATTTTTATGGCACTATTCGGTTTTGTTTCGGCTTCTTCAATACGACCAGTATTGAAGTTGCGTAAGTCTCGCCGCATGCATTTGGAGATCTGTATGTTCAGTTGCCTGTACGCTGTCAAATCTGTTGACGATTGCGGCCTCAACTCCCGTCTAACAGCCATGAGATTAAGAGTGTGATCGGAGAGTTTTTATGTTCTTCTCCGGTCTTGCAGAACTTAGCTCCGACCGCATGGACAGTTTCCACGAGCTTGTCATTCATATCGTCCACTGCATTGCAATCTTCTAGGCACTGAAAGCGGTTACGTAACTCGAGATGAAAGGTTTCGGGATTCTGGATTAGAGCACGAGGGGGACGGAGTGTTGACTTCATTAGACGAGACCTCTCCAAATTAACGTTTAGGTTCAGTGTGAATCTAACCATTCGGGGATCGCTGCCAGTGTTCACCCTTGCGATCACTGAGACATCACTGAACAGTTGGCGTCTGGTCGTCATAATGAAATCAATCTCATTTTTTTATCAAACCGTCGGGGCTCGACCAGGTCCACTTCCTGTGGGGCCGCTTCTGGAAGAAAGAGTTCATCATAAAGAGTCCTTGTTTCTCCATAAAGTCAGCCAGCTGCTGGCGCCTACGGTTCCGTTGCCCTACTCGAAATTTCCCTAACTTCAGCTCACCGCCTTCTCTTGTGCCTAGTTTTGCGCTGAAGTCTCCCATCAACACCGTGTAGTGGGTTTCGGAGGAATGCATGGGTCTAGAAATATCCTCATACATTTCTTCCACCTCCTCATAGGGATGTGCCGAGGTTGGTGCGTAAACCTGTATGACCTTCAGCGAATACCGTTTGGTGATTCTGAATATCAGGTACGCGACCCTCGTCGACACACTCCCAATCTTTACAACGTTGTTGACGAGAGACTTGTGGACGATAAATCCGACACCTCCTTGGGACAGGTGGTCGCCGTCCCGGTGATAGA